GTAGCCATCTCCTACTTCGGTGGAAACACAGAACTTCATCTTCCATTAAGAAATCAGAATTGCGCCTCACCGACTTCGAAGGTCACGCCTTCTCCGGCCTTCCAGCCCCATAATCCTTTTTCGGATAATACTTTCCCTACTTAGTGTTGGACATTATGAAGAATCCGAACTCGAGTAGAGTGAAAGCCGAATAGGTTCAATCAGGTGGAGCCCAACAAAAAAGTGAATGGGATCGGCGGCAGTAAAATGGTGCCGAATGATAATAAGTGGATATAATTTTCTTAACCTCTGACCACCTTCTGACTTCATTTCTCAAACGGGAACAAATAACAGTTCACATAAGATTCTTAACTCCAGTTCAGTGAAGATGAAACAAGTACAATTTCTTTTCAAGAAACAGGACCTTTTCTAAACGGAGCAGTTGACAAGTTCCTGGAAGCTTTTCAGACCTCATTCATCATTTAGCTACTTCAAGGATTCACGATTAGCTTTTGGCACGAACATATAACTTTTTTGAAGATGGTTTTTGTTCAACCACAGAACTAGCGCACTGGGTCGAGGCGCTGTATCGTACTAATTGAATTCGTGGAATGAAGTTGCTCCGGAAAAACAGACCCTTTTCCTGATAGGAGAGATCAGCATTACATGAGAACATCTATGCCAGAATATATAGTTGCCTTTAGCCCCTAGGTGGCTCCAATGAGCCCATTCAAGGTCAGCCCACCATAGGAAGCCAATCCAGTAGACTACGCAACAGGTCAAAGGTGGGCGCAGCAAGATGGGTGCGCCTCGTTGCGCGCGTCCGTCGAAACTAGGTCACTCCGCGCCGTGGCATGCAGCGGGTCAGTCCGCGATACTTGACAGACGTCGTAGTTGTCAGTGGGGCATACGGTTCGCGCTTGGTCCACGGCAGTCAGCTAATGAAAAGATAACACGGACAAATGTAAATCGCTCGCTCAATTGACTCTTGGTGGTACTGTAATGTTATCTCGAGACCTCAGAGGAGAGCACCGCGCGCGAAGTGGGCGGAGCGGCCTATTTTCTACGGACGCGCGCAACGGACGTTCGCCCAGCAAGATAGTCAAGAGTCAAATGTAAGCCAATGCCAACAAATCAAACGAACCTCCAACGCTGGTGGGGAATCAAAAGTGTGTTCAATGAGCCAAGAAGTGCTTTTCAGAGCATAATATCAAGCTTGATCGCTACTTCACACAGCAAGTAACGGGGATTCTTTGCCTAGTGGGAAACCACGTCGTTTTTGAAGGAAACCAGAGACTCGTTAGATTTCAGGCTAAGAACGAAGTAAGAGTTGCTTGATATTCTGAAACATACCTCTTCTTCAGTATCAACCGCCTCCTTCGGTGGTGGATCGGTAGCAGATCGTACAGCAATTTCATTCTGTAATCCATTATTGATAAAATTGGTATAATTCAATAAAATATGCTCATTAAAGTTATTATTCCGTGATAATAAATAGTAACAAATAATGAAGTGTAATTCAATAATGTGGGAAATCAAAAATTTGCTGTATAATTACTTCATTACGGAAAGAATAATAACTGGATTGTAAGAGAGCACGTTGAACAAAGAGTATTTCGCTGTCCTACTACAAAAGGACAATACTGGTATGTCAAAGTAGCGAGCGCTTGCGTTTGATTAGATTTCTGAGTACGTACCTAGGCCAGTTATCTCGGATAGTAACTAACTGTTTCTTAAAATAGTTTTTTTGTAGACCAGGTACCTGAGAGTTTGTGGTCAATATATGACTGAATGAATAGCTTCACTTATGAAAAACAAGTAATTATATTTTCTAGATATACGTAATCGGGTGGTGTAGCGCCAATTGACGCTCTCTAACAAGCGCATGATCCGTGTTTCGAATCCCGGGTGGATCCTCGCCTAGGCCAACCAACCTCTCAACCCTCCGACGTCGGGTTAATTGGTACCAGACTCGACTGGGAGGATAAAAGCATTAAACTGTACATCGACTGGCCACCGCATGTCATGTATGGGCCACATACGCATTCAAACCGCCTTCGCGATTCCAAATAGACGTCGAATGCGGGGCGTAATGCGATTAACGCCTAAGACTTTATCCTTTGTCCATTATATTGACTGACAATTCATCAGAACCACGAGGAGGAGGGGGACGCGCCTTACACACGAATTACATTTAAAATCATAGAAGCGTTTGAATGCGTATTTGGCCTCCACTCCACTCCAACGATCTCCGACAGCTAGCAGGTATATGAATCAGTGCTTTTACCCTCTCCGGTAAATCCCATCCTTTTTAAATATCCCTAGAGGAATGGCCGAATTGACGGAATGACTCCCTGCCGGAGTGAATTGATAACACTTATAGAGACATCTCGAGTAGTCCTTTGAGGCCCCAGGAATGTCGAGAATCCTGGACCGGCAGCGCCGGGACATCATCCGCTACCCTAGTGGAGCACAGGAAGAGCAGCCACTTCAAAGCAAGATAGAGAGAAACGCCCAACACCAAAAAGCCTATTTTCATGCATTTTTGAGCTTAATTGCGCTATCAGGTCCGATTTGCTCAAAAATGAAGACATAAAGGGACGAAATAAATAAATAATAATATAATTCAAAGAGACACACAAAAGCAAATGTGACGAGGCACTCTGCTTGAACTCCTAATGAGGTTGGCTCGTGAACTAGATTAGGCTGACGTTTCGGCAGGATAGCCAGATCCGTCAAAGTCTGGGGGATTTAGGGCAATTTGAGACTATCTGATCAAAAATCTCTGCAAGACCAAGCTAGAATTGGAGATCTAACTTGGTTTTTTAAACTCAAAGTTTCTGTTTAGGCCAAAGGCGGTCGCAATGCCCCCCC